AAAAAAAAAAAAAAAAAAAAAAGGAGAGTGAAAAAGATCTTACCATCTTTCATCTCCCTCCTCCATTAATGAAGAAAAACAATTAGAGAACGGAAGATATCTCCTCCTCACTCTCCCCACTCCCCCTTCAAATCCACCCATTCAAACAGGGCTAAAAGACTGGAATTTTAAATGAAGGGAAAAAGGTTAAAATCTTCGGGAGTACCTGAGGCACGCGAACGTTGGTGAGGATGTAGTTGTAGAGGCGAGGGGTAATGCTGATGACATGCTTGTTGCCGTACTTCTTATCGTCAACAACGACGACTTCGGGGCTTGCAGAGGAGCAGTTCCTTATCAGACGATTAAACCGGTATCTAAGTTTACATGTCCTAGAGTCAGCTCTTGAAGATAACGAATGGAATTTCCGTCGTGAAAGCTCATCTCTGCGTACAAAAACAGCAGCAGCCGTGACGGCGGGCTGATAAGCGAATAAGGAGCATGGATTAATCACCGACAAGCTGCTGGCCATTCTCTCCAGAAGCAGAGACAAGGACTTTCCTTACTTTTCGAGAGCAAATTGGGCTTTCCTTATTTTTCTCATCTATCTTTCATTTTATCTGCAACAGAAGCCAGGTGCACCTCAGCCGCAGGAATTGAATCTCTCGTAGATAGCGTATTGGGTCGTGTCGGCTTTCCGATTGGTCTCGCAACTGTCGCCAAGTTTTTCGTCGCGTCGGGTTTTGACGGGTCCCATAGAAAAGGACTGCGTTTTGTTTATGCTCCAAAGTTTTTCCTAGAGTCCATATCCCTGCACCAATCCACTGAGGTTACTTATGTTAATAAGGTTTTCATCAAAATCTGTTGCATCCTGATTCTTGCAAGTTGAAGATATCAATTTTATTACCATTTTGTTTACGTATCAAGATTTCATTGGCTCGTTATATCATATCAAACATGTAACAGTTGTTTTTAGAAGATATATAACCATATTGTTGTATATTTTTTCATTGCCACAGTAATAAGCCATGTCCCCTCTGTCTCCATATAAAAAAGAAAAAAAAAAAATGAGAGACTGAAATTGCATCTTGTGAATACTTTGGAGCAGAACTATTAATTTTCATTTGAATTCTCTATGGATTAATATACAGTGTGTGTGGTATGTGGGTAATAGAAATTAGGAATCGTCAACAAAATTTAACTGAGTAAACTATTCCAACGATCTTGTAGAGCCTCAAAACTTAAGTCCAAAACTTGTCCAAGTCCGATTGAACCTATCATCTGTGCACCCTAATACAACACATTGTTCAGTCCTCCGGTCCTCAGATTGAACATCAAGCCGTTAACGTCGTTGAAATGGTAGCTGTAGAAGAAATTGCTGGCCCAGGCAGCCGGAGCGATGAGAAGCATCTTCCAATTGCGGAAGAGCTTCAAGATCTCGATGGCTTCAGTGGAGACATTTGAGTATTTGATGTTGGTGCAGCGAGTTCCATCGTTCCTGATGACGCGGGTGGGATGCAGGATGGAAAAGGAAAGGAGAGCACCGGTAGACATGAAGTGATGGGAAGAATAAGGTGTCACCTGAGTACAGTGGTAACAAAGGCAACACCAAAATCTTCTCCGATCTATTTGAAATTGTTAGGAGCAAGCTAAATTGAGTCCATAAATTATAGCAGCAGCTAAAATAAAATATGCAAAACAGTAGAAATAGCTAAGGCAAAGGAACCATCACAAGAATATTTTTACGTGAAAAACCTCAAAAATGGGTAAAAATCACGGGACATCCAGTCCACTGAAAATAGTTCCACTATAATAAAAGTGAGTGCACAATATCTTCTTCTAAAAAGGTATAAAAAAAGCACCAAATAAGACGAACAACAGGTCACAAACCAATAAAGTAAAAGGGACCACAAGAAAACAGATCACCCAAAAATTGAGCTACTATTCTGGGCACAAATCAGAACCTACAGAGTTTCAAACGAAAAACTGACCGTTCAGAATGTAGATCAATGTCTTGTGAACTCTCATAAAAAATTTCAACTCAATCTAACGGTGAACTTTTGCGGATCGGACAAAGTTGCAAAACTGTGCACTGTACAAAAATCTGCAGAATTCTCCCCTGCTTTCTTTCCCTTTCTGCCTTTCCCTTTCTGCCGGCTGGTCCACTCACATGCTCTCC